AATCCAAAAAGTCATGCAAACTAAAGTGTTGACAGCCTTTGTTTGGAGTCCGAAATGCACTGTGTCTAACTAAACCACTGTGTAATTATGGATCCTTTGTGATTTCCCATTCTCATTTTATAGTCAATTTTTCTTTGATATGGCATGTTGTGTTCCAGTAGCTAATCTGAAATCATCAATATGGTTTTGAAAAGGATAAAATCAAATTGTAACAGTCTGTGTTCCCATAATGTGTGCATAGCCATGGGAAAACATGGTAACTAGGTACACTATCTCACTATTTCCATGTTCCAGACAGTGGAAAAGTGATTCTACCCCCGAATTCTCTCCAAAGAAGAGCAGTTGCATTTATTTCTCATATATTTACAAATCAACAGCTGATACACAGAAAACTGGATGAACATTAGTATGTATCCAGATGACAGAAGAGATTGTAAATGAAGTAGAGATTTTCTGACTCCAGTACTTATAATTAAAGGAAATAGTGCCTTATTTTAGTTCATACAAACACAACAAGAGATACTAACCTTATACATTCTATTTTAAAATGTTGATATAAGCAAAAAGAAGGTTTTATATATGTATGTATGTGTATACATATGTATGTATGTATATCATATCAGTGTTTCTGTTAAGTACATTTAGGTAACAGTTGTCAGCTTTGGCTGCACATTCAAATCCCCAGGAGAGATTTCTTTTTAATCCCATTACCCATGGCCACAGCCCAGACCCCTAAATCAGAACCTCTGTGGCTAAAACCCACATATCAGTAATTTTTTTTCAAGCTCATGGGATGATTCCTATGTGCAGCTAAGAATTAGAGCCAGAGATATATTAAAAGGAAATAAACTTTCATTTTCTTTCAACTATTATAGATTTAGAATGTCAAAATATAGTGCAAATATGAAATGCTGCTATGATAAAGCTTATGATCTTATTGGAATACCAGATTTCAGGAGCTTAATTTGAGTATTGGGTATCAGATATTCCTTTCAAATTGATGAAAATTGCTATTGCAGTCTTCCACTTTTACTCTCAAAGTTAATTACATACACATTGTGTTCCCACAATTATGTCAAATTTTCCAGTTCTATTTAGATGTTTACATAAAAGAGAAATAATGTCTTCGAAAGACAGGTTGCTAAGAGTATTTGATCTATATGTACCTAATTTCAGTGAAACCTGTCTTTCTATGCTTAGTTTTAATAAAATGATCCTAGGAGAATCTACTTCTCTTGACTTAAAGATAAATATTTATAAAGATATAAGTTATTTTAAAAGGCATAAAAATGCTTTTTTCCTAATTTTTCAGATACCAACAACATCATTTAAGAAATCTAGCATGTAATATGGAACAGAAATCATTACTATTACTAATATTATTAAATAATAAATTATTTTATTAGTGGTATTATTTATTACTTTATTATCGGAGTATTGAACTAGCTCTGTGACTTGAGACTTGTATTCTGTGAAATCAATATTTGAATTAGTCAACTTTGAAAGTCCTTTGCAATTCCACCTTTTGGAGATTCTGAGTATTACAATCTTTACTCAGCTGTGTAGACCAAGAAATGTCTACCACACATTTCAGAGTACATACTTTAATCTTATTATGCGAGATGTAAAAGCTGAGGTGAACAGTGGTGAAATTCTTCCTGTAATACCACAGAGAAGGAGTTTGTCATGTGTGAGGGTGAAGAGATTATTAGAGAAGTCCAAACTATCTATTTATTTTAAGTACTTACCTCTACCTACATCATATAGGTTCCTTGTTTTGTTTTGTTTGTTTTTAATCATTTCTGGAAAAATCAGTTTAAAAACACTCTGCCAGTTTAGATACTAAAGGCATTAAAAAAAAAAAAAAAACCTGAAAAAATCAAACAACACTTAAGTACTTTTCTGTGGCTAAAGAAAAAATTATTGTATTCACCTGTTTTAAGTGTACGCTTTATACCTTATATATGTCTGAAATCAGGATGAGTTTTATAGTTAATGATTAGTTACAAACATTGTCTACCAGCTGGCAGTTGTCATGTAGGCAATATTCCTTAAGCTTGTGTGAATGTGGTCATGGCCGTTTACATAGTTAAACTTCAACTAAGTTACGTGCACTATTTGTACTGTTATGTGTAGAGTTTGTCATTCAACATTTCTTCAGAAAGATTACAGTATGATTCAGTATTAGAACAAAAAGTTATCGTCTGAACAGAAAGACAAGGAAACAGTGGCAAAAATTATATTTCATTTGATGAAGCCAATATTTATGGTTAGAGCAATGACTGCAATTTCATATTTTCTTGTTAATCAACAGCTAACTGATTTACATAGCCTTGTTGCTTATCATGTCAACCCAGGACCAGCAGTGTCCACATCACCAGGCATCTTATTAGAAATTCAGAACCTTGGGCACATCCCAGATCTACCGAATCAGAATCTGAATTTTATCAAGATCCCAACATAATTCTTTTGCAGCTAAAAGTTTGCAAAGCACAGCTTTATAGTACCAAGGAGGATACTCACAAGATGAAGTTGTTCTGTATTTTGTTACTGAGGTATGTGCTAAATGCATGCCTCTCATTTAAGCAATACAACCTAAAGCGGGAGAAATCCTCTTAGAATACATGAAAGAAACTTCAAAGCAACAAGAAACCAGTGTGACTGATTTATAAGCAAACCTGAAAATATTGATAGGAATCTATGTCCAAATAAGTTTAAAAGGTTTTTCTATAGGCTTTACTTAGGTATTGAATAGAGCCTATTCAAGATAAGAAAGCATTATATTATAGTTTATTTGACAACATTTTTCTAGTGGAACATAAAATTTTTCCTAGTGAAACATTTTTCTTTCCTAGTGGAACATAAAATCATGATGTATCTAACCCTAGGTGAAACAATAGGTTTGATGAATTACGGACAATAATTCAAGTTCAGTGTGTCACAAATCCATTAAAAACCACGAAAATAAAAACACTTGTTCATACGTATCTATGCACTTGAGATAACTGGATAAACTGACATAGAAAATGATTAATTTGTGTAACAAGAATTATCCTATAAATTATTTTATTATTATATAAAGTTTTCTTTGCTAAATAACTGCATACATAGGAGAAAGAGGAAGAATTAATAACATATTAGCCACATTTTATTTTTATGCTACATTAAAGAATGACATGGTGGAAGTTTTCTCTAAGTAAGCAAAATAGCTACATTAATAGTAAATTAGTTCATTATAACTTGGTCACATATAATGAATATAAAATTAACATTTGTGAGTGGACTTTTTTTAACCGCAAAAATAAATCATGCTGGAAATAGTTTAAGAAGCTGGATCTAAATGTCTGCTTTTATTTCGATATTTTAAATGATTTATCTAAATTAATATCTCATTCATTTTTTCTTTATTAGCACTTAGTGTAACATGTGAGACACTTAATTTAAAAGAAATGATTTTTATCCAAATGATACTAAGTAGACTTTATAGACTGTTATCCTTGGGTTAAACCAGTATTTGTTGACTGTTGGACAGATTTCAGCCTGCTTCTCCAGCTTTGCTTCTTTATTGATGATAATGATTATCTTTATGATGCATTTTGTTCAGCATGCTGAAAGTGAGGGGGTGTTTTGTTGAGGAAGAAGAATGGAGGTTTGAGGAAAATCATGGCAAGAACCTTTCTGACTTACCAAGAAGACAGCTTTCTAAGTTCATTTAGTGATGAACCGCCTGGAGGTACAAGTCAAATGATGATGAAGCGTATAGAAACCATTTGAATCTTGCTACCAGAATGGGAAGAGATGACTATGAATCAACCTACTTTTCACCCCCTACATTTTGATTTTTCTTATTTACACAGTGTCCTATATAGTGTGGCTGCTTAATGTTATTCAAATAAATATTTGCTGAAAAAATGTTATGGTTAGACACATGCACATTCTTATCTGGCTATATTGCAGAGCACTTCACTGAGTAGGTGATATTTTAGACTGTTTTAAAAGATGATTAAAATCTCAGCAGGCATGTAGTCAGTATTTGTTTTATTACATGCCTTTGATGCCCACACTTTAGTGGATTATTTTTCACTCACCTGTGAAGTAGAGTAATTTTAACGATGCTAATTTTGTGTCATAGATTAGGTCATTTATTGGTGGCAGGGTGTATCGGGTTCATTTTACTTTATGGAATTATTTTAATTTTCTAGCTCTTTAGAATATTTTATAGGAAAAAATAACCTAAGGTGAATAAACTTCTATTCCTATTCTGGATACCCAGTGACACTCTTTTTTTAATATTCTGTAATCACAGTGATTTAACATTACATAACAGAAATGTCTACATGTTGAAAGTTGATATGGATGAGAGCCATCTGCATGTTAAATTTGGGATGACCACCTAGAACACGCTGCATGTTATTTATCAAAATGTACCTTTTTCAATTGATGGCTTGAAAAGTAAAATCTGGAGTTCTTTTAACTTATAAGCAAAATTAGAAGTTTTTCTCAAAATGTCAAGTTCTGAAAGTAATAACAATTATGATGTAACCTCTTATTAAATAGTGTGCTCCAGTGATCAGAAGCATCTGAATCACCTAGAAACTTGCCTCTCACTGTCGTGGCCTCTCCCGTTGCGGAACACAGGCTCCGGACGCGCAGGCCCAGCGGCCATGGCTCACGGGCCCAGCCGCTCCGCGGCATGTGGGATCTTCCCGGACTGGGGCATGGACTCGTGTCCCCTGCATCAGCAGGCAGATTCTCAACCACTGCGCCACCAGGGAAGCCCCTAGAAACTTTTTAAAAGCTGAATATTCTCAGGCTGCAGCCCAGATCTTCGGAACCAGAATCTGCATTTTAACAAATCCCTAGACAATTCCTCTGCACATTAAAGTTTGAGATGTTCTGGTAGCCTATACCCTTACATAATCTCCGATTTTGATTGTATAGTACGCATTGAGAATCTGTAAAGTGTATCCTGGCCCCTAAATCTTTACCTCAAAGTAGACATGGATTATGGCATTCTCAAACAGAATGAAAAGCGTTCGTGACTAGATTTTAGAACAGAAAAATCATTTCAGTTTTACAAGCTTCAAAATCCTGTGAACATATGCCTTTTTATGTTCTTAAGACTTTTTGAGTTATACAATAACTCTTTTTCTAAACAAAGAAGACAATTATATCTACTAAGTGAATTCATCTGTCCCTGTTGTACCTGGTCTTCTGCTGATTGACTCAGAATGCTATTTTAGCTTTCTTAGACTTGTGTAAATCATGCCTCTTTGTTCCCTGGAGTTAATGTAAAATTAGTCAAAAATAAAATCAGTTAACATAATATTAGTAAGTATGCATATTTAATTTTCAAAGTGCCAAGTAGATTACTCACAGCAAATATTAAAGGGAAAATAATTTTAGATAATCATAAAGTGTTTCTGTAGTAAGGGGCTTTCAAGTCTAAAGTTGTGTCATAATGGATATTTTTATTACAATGATCAGAATGAAAAATGAACTTCTTAGCATGTCCCTCTTCTTTCCTCTCTTCCAGATGCAAGACAAAGGTCTACCCTGATGAACTTCCAAACACAAGTGTAGTCATTGTATTTCATAATGAAGCTTGGAGCACTCTCCTTAGAACTGTTTACAGTGTTATAAATCGTTCTCCACACTATCTACTCTCTGAGGTCATCTTGGTAGATGATGCCAGTGAAAGAGGTACAAGTATTTTTTTTGTATATTTTTTTAATTAGAAAGCTTAACTGTATTCAAAAAGATAAGTGGGCAATGATCTGTATTTTCCTTGTAATTATACTAACTCTGTAACCACCTATCAAATTTTCATTAATATACCAACTCCAGAAACAAGTAACAAATTCTTTCAGTTTATCTCATGATTCCATGGTTCTTACTAACCTAAGAAATCAGCCAAAATGACTTTCATAAGTGTTTCTTTTTTTCCCAAACTCAGTTGATCTTATGACTGAGCATTTATATGACTTTGTGGATATTTGTCTTTTTATTTTTTTTAGTGTAGGTAAAAGAAAAATAACTTATAATTAAGGAGATTGCATTTGCCAATGTGGCCCAGTTTCTAAATTAGATTCTGGTATATTAACTTCCTAGTATATCCTTATCCTTGTCAGCCAAGTGACAGAATCATAATGAACTGTATACTAATTCACTGATGAAATCTCTACATCTTTATTTTGTACAATGCAAAAAAAGTTGATAGGAGTTTACCACCATTTCTGCATGTTGAATTTCCATCTGGTTAGTAGTATCTCTTCTCTGTCTTAAAACAGTTTCAAAACTTTATAAATTCTTATTGCACGTTACAGATTTTCTCAAGTTGACATTAGATAATTATGTGAAAAATTTAGAAGTGCCGGTAAAAATTATTAGAATGGAAGAGCGCTCTGGGTTAATACGTGCCCGCCTTCGAGGAGCAGCTGCTTCAAAAGGACAGGTCATAACTTTTCTCGATGCACACTGTGAATGCACGTTAGGATGGTTGGAGCCCTTGCTGGCAAGAATAAAGGAAGACAGGTAAGAATTCATGTGTTATGTCTGTCTGGGTTTTGACTGAACCCGTTAGGACATTTTCAGCTGTCCATCAAAACTTTTCTTCCAAGTTTCTATTTTCAGAATGTTTATTTCCTAGCTTTTAAAAAAGTAGGCCCCCTACTCCTTATTTAATAAGGACCTTGGCTTATTTATGCTGAATCTGAGTATTTGATTAAGAAATAGTCAAACAATTCAAGTAGTAAAGATGTGCTGAATATTCATTTTATAGGTGACGGAAATCAGTCCAATCAAAAATAGTATCATATTGTATAAAATACATTTTCAAAGCACCTTTGTCTTCACCATCACCCTGTGAGGTAGGTAATAAAGGTATTCTTGTCTGTATTTAATAATAGGGAGGAGCAAATGAGTTAAATAGCTTGTCCCAGTTATTGGAAGTGATGGGAACAGCAATTTAGTTCTTCCCACTCCCAGAACAATCTTCCCTTTACTACGTCAGTGCCCTTATTCAAAGTCTAGTCCAAAGCCACCCTGAAGATCTTAAAAATAAACTCACACTCATGCACCCCACTGAAATGAAACCAGGATTTAAAAAAAAAAAAAGCATAGAAAGCACAGCTGTAAGAATGTTTATTTAAATAATATTGTCCTTTTGTACAGACATATTATGAAATCTGAAAAGTTGAAGAATATAGAAATTAAGAACCCTCATAGTTAGCTGAAATTCTTTCTGATGATGATGCTATGAAGTGGGTTTTTTGCATATACTCATAAACATGGGTGGTAAATGAGTGCCATTCCTAAGCGCCTAATGAAGACAGCTATGCTGATTGCTGTCTGATATAGTAACAAAGCATTGCATAACACCTTGCTTGCATAGTCATTTCACCTACAGTCAAAAGGTCTTTTTAGAATTGAAGTTTTTAATTAAGCTTCCAAGACAGGGGCTGCTTAGTGTGAGCTAGTGCAGCTATATCACATAAATGGCAGGATTTGGTACTTGCCAGGAAGATGGATAGAAGTTGTCAGTAAAATGAACCATAGCAGTTGAAGAAAGCAGTGGGAACCTTTTAGTCAACTGAGTGTAATATATGGCTAATAACATTCTTCCATTCTGTGTATTGTACAGTATGCACAGGAAGGTAAGGTTGGCAAAGTATAATGAACTTAGAACCTCTTAAATTCATTTCCTGGCAGCTTTTCATACATTATGCTGCTTTTTAAAACACGTGTTTCATATTCAACTTAGTGAGTTTTTAATACAATGTTGTTTCACTGTGGTCATGAATGGATCATTTATTTTTTTCATCTAACAACATATTTAGATTGTATTTGCATATAATGAACTCTAATGCCTTGTCCTGCTTATATGTTGTAAAGTTGCCATAACTAGATAATAAAGTCCTATTCAAGGTTATTAGATCTAATTTCATCTCCCTATAATTTAAATTATTAAATGTAATGAAGAAAGAGAGAAAGATATTGCTTTTATAAGGACCAAAGTTCCCAAGAAGTTTTTCCAAGGCTAAATTAAATCTATTAATTTCAGAGAACTCTATGCGTGGGCCAATTGTGTGGCATATAAGACCAAATAGAAAATGAGTGTTGGTGATGCTGGTATTACAAAACCAGAATAAATAATGGACAGCATGTCCTTGCTTTCCACATCTATTGGTGATTCAATTGTATGTTTACATCTATGGGTGATTCAATTGTATGTTTACCTTCTATCTTATATGAAAAGCAAGCTCTACTCTTAGGAATTAGCTACAAACAAGGCACAGTTGTTTGAACATTTACTGTGGCGATGACAAAAGCTTGATTCCATAATAAAACATATAAACCTGGAATAGGGGAAGACTGGAGAAAGCACAACATGGATTAAAAGACTACCTAGTGATCTCCCATGGTGAAAAGTTCCTTACCCTAAAAAGCCACCATCAAGAGAATCAAATCTATATATGTATAACTGAATCACTTTGCTGAACAGCAGAAATTAACACATTGTAAATCAACTATATTTCAATAAAATTAAAAAAACCCAAATCTCCTGGCTCTTCCTCTTACTTTAAGAAAAAATGGGTCATAAAACACCAGAAACTGAAGTTGCTTATCTTTTCCCATCTTAAAATATGTAGATTGTTAGTGTAAGCTTCTTTTTTTTTATTTTAGTGTAAACTATAAGTCTAGGACAATTCACTCAGAAATTGTCATGACACTAATGTCATTCATAGGAAATATTTACTTATACTGATGATGATGATTTTTATCGTTGCTTCTTGGATTTTCATTTGTTTGTTTTTCTATGAAGATTTTCTCTGAACTATCTCTTTAAACTTACCTATTGCCTTTGAGAGTCAAACTACCAGATCTAATTTGCCATCATTCATTCTTCACTCCCCGCATGCTGTTGATTTTCAGTGGTCTATAGCTAAAATGATGCATAATATCAAAGCAGCTCTACTAATCATGCTGTGAGTGGAGGTTTTATGAAAAATAGACCATGTTCATCCCACTGAGTTAGTATTTAGAATGCATTTGGAAGTCAGCTTGAAGATCAGTATATTTGATTAGATTATACATGATAGAATAAAAGTAGACTGAAGTAAGATGCAGTGAAAGGAAGCAATTTTACAGAGGAAAAGGGTAACATGAAAATAAAGGCAAATTAAAGTCACAAAATAATTAAATTTCAACATATCAGCTATATTAAGTTTAAAGAAACTAAGGTAACATTTAAATTATTATTTATATGTAAACTGATTTTAATTTTTCTGCAGGAAAACAGTTGTATGCCCCATCATTGATGTGATTAGTGATGATACCTTTGAATATATGGCCGGGTCAGACATGACTTACGGGGGTTTTAACTGGAAACTGAATTTCCGTTGGTATCCTGTTCCCCAAAGAGAAATGGATAGAAGGAAAGGAGACAGAACATTACCTGTTAGGTATGTAGAGCATATCTTCCAAAGCATAGCATGTGTATTCCTATAATAATTAAGGAATATTATCAATTTGTATGATCATTTTTTAGACTTTTGAAGACATATACTTTTTATTCATATGCATATATGTATTATCACGTTTTACATGATCATCTAAGAATCAGTGACAACATTAAATCTACTTTAAATTGCACAGACAAATTTAAGTACTGGAAGAAGTGCCAATTTTTTTGAAACTATGTATTCTTACATTCAAAATATATGTATTGTGAATTTTCTATGTGACAGGTATGTGTTAGCCTTGATACTTCAGGTAGATGTAATATAGTTTATAACAGAGGTATAACCAAAAATGTTTCAGTAAATATTTTAAATTTACCAACCTTAAAGAGCTATCTTCCCTATAGATACAAAAGAAAGATCCATTTGGAAAATTTTAATATACGAACAATTGTGAAGGATTTATTGTTTGTTCTAAATTATTTAAAAAGCTACTTAATTTGAAATATTTATGTTTAAAATATGTGTTTGCCCTTAATACAAAATAAGAACTATCATATAAATCTTTAGTTGTCTAGATAAGCATTATCTACGTTATTAATATAAAATTATCACCTTCTTATTTTAACGTATTATTGTGTGCCTCTTGCCTGCAACCAAAAATTGATTTCCTGAACAATACTTGGGGAGGGAGTTCACTAGTTTAGCTCTTTAAAGATGAATTTGGTAAATCATCACTTGGTTGGAACAATAAAGAAGTACCCTAACATTCTAAAACAATATATATAACCCATTATCTAGACAAGAATGTCTCCTAGCCTACTGAGAGAATGACTTATCCATTGGCAAGACTAATTATATAATGAATTAATTAAAACTAGCTCAAAAAATTGGCTAATGGAAGTGAACAGCTCTCAGTGCTTGTTATTGGACAATTAAGTATTGGGACTGTTAACCCTCTTAAGGATATATTAACTACATCAAAAAGAAAATAACATGTAGTTGCAAACGGTTGCGTAAGGATATGAAGTTATTATGTCAATATTTTGAGTGTAATTTAGCAGTCCTTAACTCTTGCTGTCATCTTCACATTCACCTTGTCTTATTGATCCTTGCCTCTAACAACTTGAGGAAATACAATGGCTCATATTACAATTGTTTGTTAGAAATCCTGTTTTCTTAGATCATGGTTTCATTTAGTGTTAGATAATTTTTCAGCTTCAGATCCCAAGTGAAAATTATCAAAATACATGACCAATACACTCAAATATAGGCAATGTGTTATTTATTTGAAAAAGAGGTTTAAAAGATTGCATGTGCATACTTATTTTTTTAACACATTGGCAAAAGACATACTTTTTTAAACTTTATCTTCTCACGGAGTCAAAAGGTAAATAATTAAGAGCTAGCCAACATTCATAGTAAGAAATTGCTCATCTTATTCATAAAAGTAAAGATCTACATAGAAATCTACCATTATTTCTCATCTTTCATTAACTAAAGCAAAAGAGGAAACATCCAAATTGCTATATTTTCATTACAATTTATGTGATTTTACTGTAATAACATGGAGAGATGATGAAATCTGAGTATATTTTATTTGTTTGCCTTAATAACTGCACAGTATTTCACTGTGAAGGAGCAGTATTTCAATGCTAAGAGAGCTGGAGCAAGAGAAAAAGAAAGCTCAGTCTTTGCTGAAGTTTCTAGATTCTTATGGCAAAAGGTTAATTAATTCACTGGCTGTGTTGTAATAGCCTGCAGGTAATTTTCATCAGCATAGCTGTAATGTGAACATTCTTTGTACTTGTAATCTATTACTCGAGGATGTGATCATTTTTCTCACATTCATACAAACAGATAAATCATTCTAGGTGTTAAAGACAATTTTTTTCCTACTTGATAACAGAATTCTGAATAGCTAAAGTGATTAAAATTAGGTTGAAATTTTGGTTTTCTTTATAATGCTTTATTTAAAATGTCAGTTATGACAGAACTTTCTAGTGACTATAATTGGCTAGTTAGTCATCATTTAGAAATACAATCATGCATTTGCATACATAGAGGAACAACTTGAACTTGTAACCTAACCTTAGTTATACCTCATTTAAAATAAAGTTTATAATGGTTATACTTATTATTCTATTCTCAACCTCTGGGCTTTGATATTTTCTTTTTGATAATAAATGGAGTTTGCGAAATGCTTGGCAATTGTGAAGTTATGAGTTTGGAATAATAGCATAGCATACATAGTCCAGCTTTGTTCTTCTTTCTATTTAGTCTTCTTTAATCAGTAAACTGTCCTTGATATTTTAGTAGTCAAATTATATGACTTTTCAGGAATATCTCAATTACATGTGCAACAATACAGTAATCAAATCGTTAAACCAGGGGTCATAAACCAGGAGCCTGTGTGTCAAATATGCTCTGTTGATGTGTTTTCTTTCACCTGCATAATGTTTTGCACTTATTAAACTTAGCAACATTTTAAAAATGAGATATTTTAACTGGTAGCATAAGTTATCTGGTAGTGCAGATAATCTCCTAAATCATTTAATTAGTTTGGGGGTGTAGTATGCATTTTTTCTATATACTAAATATAACTGTTCAGTTGATTTGGTTCAGGCTATTGAAATGAGCAATAGTTTAGTTTTGCATGTTTTTCCACATGCAAAAACACATACACGAACACTGTTGAGCACTGTGTTAGGTTCTACACATGCAAAGCTGAATAGAGCTATCTCTGCACTAAAGTGGCTCACTATCTGGCACCAGCTGTAAGTCTGCTGGATAAGGGGAAAAGGCCAGGACAACTGGCTAGAGAGTGGATGTACAGGAGTTAAATTGTGACAACTGATAAGAGTGGTGTGTGCTTCTGGAAAAGAACCTGGCTCTTTAATCTTATTGATGGCGTTAGTCTCCTAATTAATGCTCTGTAAGTAACCCTAAATAAATAGTTATAAAAGTATTAGTTTCTACTTTAATTTCTCACTGATTGAAATAGATTACTTAATTAAAAGCCTACGGGTTATTTATCAAGTCTATTTATCTTTCTTTACCCTTTGTGTCTTACCTTATGGACTTTTTTCACATTTAGTCATTATTAATATTCTCAGTATGACTCCCTTCTTTCTTACATTGAGTACCATGTTCAGTATTTTTCTAAAGTAAAACAAAAGAGTTAGATTTTCTTCTAATCCATGCTAGCATAATAAATGAAACATAGATGTATTGATAATTATGAGTTTTTATTTCTGACACATTTGACTTTGGTATCCATTTTTATTAACATTTGTCTGATCTCATACATTTATTTTTCTCTCAATTGGAATTAGGAATTTATAAAGAAGATCAAATAAATTAAACTATGGTATTAATAACAACTTGGATTACAATCATTGTGAAAAACCCATAGAATATTCACATATATTATTTCCTGTATCCTTCTAGTATGATATCACAGAAGCATTAAAGCTGGCTTTGGAGGATCTGGGTTTTATTTCAAGCTCCTCCTATTGAGAATTTACCCAATTCCTCTCAACTATAAAATGGAAAATTTTTCTCCCTGCCTTGCTTAACTGGTGAAGTGCTATAAAATATTAAATGAAATTTGAAACTATTTGAAAATAGTTATTTTAAATTTATTTCTGGTAATATAAGTAACAGATATATGCATTGAAAAATAAATGTGACAAGTATCTATAAGTTTAAAGAAGCACAACACCAATGAACCAGCTCTTTTAGTATTTTGTTATATTTACTTCCAGAGCATTTCTTTCCAGATACATTTCCCCACAATTTAAAAATTGATACATTAGTATTTTTCTATGCCATTAACATTTTATCACAAATAAAAATTTTAGTGGCTGTTAATATCTAAATTTTTTTACTAAGCCCTGTCTCTATTTTTAATAGTCTAAAGTCAACTAAGAGTTTACACTTTATGTTTTTGCCATGTATGTCTGTGATCTAGTTTTTGCAATAATGTAGTCTCTTTAGAATTATGCAATCAAGCAATATGAAATTTGTTTTAGTATTCTTGTATACCTTTTGCCAATTTTATTTTCTCCCCCCAAATCATTACTGACTCCAATTTATAGTTCCTCTAGGAAGTATAATAAATGAAAAACACCTAGTTTATTCTGTAAAATCTTATACAAATATAAGACAATATTTGTAATTCTATAATAGCAACTAGTAATATATTTCTTAATTTTTATCTATCAGGTTTTCTTTATTGTATTTTCCTCAGTCCAATGAAAATACACTTTTAAATTGGAGGAAAGAAAGCTGAAACAGAAAAGCCTGTGAGACACTTCTTTACAATAGGAGATACTAAAGCAACAGCACAGGGAAAGGTCAAGGCTGTGCATAGAACAGACTTTGAAAGGACTTCAGAATGTTCAACAGTCCAACATTCAACCCTACTTGTGTTAAAATCTAATATATGTTGACTTTGAGAAAAAGAAAAATTCTACCTCAAGTGGTATCTGTAAATCTGTATTCCTTGGAGAAAATAGTAAATTTACAGTATATTACTTCCTAATGGTTTAGGGGATAATTTACAAGACATTCCTAGCAGTCTGTTGAGATGAGAAGAAAACAGGAGTGGTATAGAAAGATTACAGGGTGATGAACTAATTACCACATTTATATACTGAATAATTGTATCACATTAACAAAAACATTTTAAAACATCTGGCCCCATTGTTATATTGACCCCTCTGAAGCATTAAATGAAAGCAAAAGGAAAGATTAAAATTTGCACCATTTACTGTACATTCTCTTTGGAAGCTTAGAGTTTTATCAGGTGATGAGGATTATGAAAAAGGATTAAGGAAAAAGGAAAAAATAACTATTCTTTTTTGGTAATATAGGTCTTTAAGCACAGGTTAAGGTATTTGATTCGAATATTTCTTGGTAAATGGATTCTTTGGCAGAGACGAGCCATTTGCCCATACTAAGCAAACTGTCCTTTAAAAATAACTTTGATTAGGCTTGGA